TTTGGGGATAGGAAAACATAGAGGGCAAGTTGAATTTCAGTCATGTAAAGTCTCAAAATTTTTACCTCTCATGCACCTATTCCCAGAAGCTACTCCAGGATGTGCTCCACCAAAACGAGGGAATGAAGCAAGAGAGAGGGAGACAGTGGATACAGGATACAGGCAGAGGGAGCTCCCAGGAGATAGGGGAGGGAGAGCCTGGGTGACAAGTGTGCACTTGGTGTCCAGGACCATCTATCTGGTCCAGGCATGTTACAAGGTGCAAGGAAAGACTTCTTTAAGAAGATGAAAATGGAAGAATTCCTGATGTGTTTGAACATTTTAAGAACAAGGTTAAACAAATTGATGGAGTTTGGGGTTAAATTAATGATAGTACACAGAATGTTTGACAAAACAAACAAAAACCAACTCCAAGGAAACAAAAGTTTGAGCCAAAGAGAAAAGAATTCTAGTCTATATATGACAGAGCTTAGCTCTTATAATCTTTATATACCTACTATAATATAGACACCAATTATTATTCTAACCAGATATGACCTACTGTTATTGAGTGGACCAAGAGCTGAGAAGGGGGATGTGTGTGATGGGAAAGGGGCAGGTGGGGAAAGAAATCTATGTCCTTATATTCCATGTGAGAAGTCATGGAAAATGCCTACACTTGAAAAATCAAATTAGCAATATAAGCAAATATAGCCTTATTCTGTGAACTTTAATTTCACAATATAAGCAAATATAGCCTTATTCTGTGAACTTTAATTTCACAATATAAGCAAATATAGCCCACTTAAAATTGTGGAAGTAAACACCAAAAACATCAATCAACTAATTAATCAAACAAAACAAAATAGCTAAAAACGTTGAATATGGTCACTTTGGGAGTGGGGAGAAAGGTGCTGGGGGGAGGCATGAGGGACTGCTATTTTTCACAATAAACCATATAAACTGGATTCTTTAAACTATGTGCATGTATAACTTTGATTAAAATAAACAAAAACAATTATTTAACTACATAAAAATACAGTTAAGAGGTGACCTAATAATATCCAAATGTGGGGAAATTTGTCGTTTCTCAGGGTGATAACTAACTGCTTGTTGCATTTGTGAAGTCAAGATTTGGGTTGATGTTGTGTTCTGTTAAGTGTTGTTCCATAGGAGTTTCTAAACAGATGAGGCGTTTCCTTTCCTGGAGCTGTGTGGGACTAACAATCCACACTCAATAGTCTGGCATGGCTTTACGTGCAGTGATGGAGAAACGCCCCAGCTCATCTTCTGGGTTCCTGAGAACTCTGTGGGCCTCTGGCAGAGGTGTGGTGTGAAGGACAGAGCACTGGCTTTGTAGACCAAAGTCCAGCTCAATCATACGTTCTTTATGTGACCTCAGAAAAGTTGCCTAACCTCTCTGAACCATAATTTCCTCATCTGTAAAATGGGGCTATGTGATACCTACCTCATAGCAGTGCTGAGTGATTCAATGAAATTATGTTTATAAAGTAGTTGGCAGATGTTCAAAAAATTTCAGTTCCCTCCCCTCTGAGGCAGTAACCTCCTCACAGATTCAGAGCAGTAATCATCTGAATCATATCAGATGGCGTCTATTCAACGCTAATACAATCAGGTAGAGAATTAAAATACATATTTAAATATATGCTAGTTTTACCTTTTACCTGATGCAAAACAGCCGGTTCTCCCATCTTAGATGGATATGCTTTAAAAAATAATTGATTTGCTCAAATTAGCTGTTTTGATGTCTTGTAGACACAACTTGAGTGTTCATCTGTTGCGTGTGGCCTAGTACAGTGAGAAGACTTCAGAAATGCTCAAGGCCCGTAGGTGATGGAATAGTCAAAACACGCCCCATCCAACCAGTCTTCCAAATTGCTATGGAACCCCTTGGGACCCTGTGAACCATAGTTTATAAATAACTATTCATAGATACAGGTATTTCCCCTAGAGTATTATTTATGTGAGGCTGCTAAAGAGCAACTTTTTTTGCTTTGCTAAGTATTAGCGCTAGCACCTGGCCCACAAAGGCAGCGCTGTGGGAGGATGGAGAAGAATCCACTTTGGAAGAGAGACTGAAGAAGTCCCTTGCAGAGAGAGGATGGCCAAGAAAGGTCAACCTTTGAAGAAAAGTCTTCCTAAGGAACAAGGACCAGTTGGCCATATGGTCCTCCATAACCCAGATGCCTAGAATAAATGATCCTGTTTGATGAAAAGCAACCTGCCACTCACTCAGCTTTGTGATTCTGCCTAAAATGGATTTCCAGGTGAAAGGTTAAAAAAACAAAAACAACAAACTGATCTCTATGTTGCTGCCTTTCCAATCTGCTCAGATATGAACAATGCCCATCACAGGAGGGCCTATTTTCACACTGAAATTCTTTCATTCAATAAAAATATTTTCATCATGTATTTTTTTAAAATGTAGCCAGTAACCATTTTTATTTTTCCAGAATTGGTTCACAGTAAAATAGATTTCTCGTCTTTGATCTAGGTGAAAGAGCATTGAGTTCCTACTTGTATTATTCCATTTTCTCTGTCTCAGACAGGAACAAAAATCCTTTGAATCATTCGTCAATTGGATTCATCAGTTCCTTGACTTGAGCACCTGCTAGACGCTGGGGATCCCAGATGACTGTGACGGAGCAGCTGGCCCAGAGGAGCTCCTTTTCTAGTTAGGGATGACGATGGAGGGAGAGGAATCTAGATTTAGAAATAGACAATGATGATAAGATGACAATAAAAGCATGTAGAAAGGTTAAGATAGCACAATCACTGGTGAAGACAACCCTGGGCTTTCCAGAAAGGCTTCCACAGACAAGGTGAAGTTTTGGCTTGGTCTTGAAGGCCTTGTGAGAGTTTGCCAGTCAGGCAAAGGGGACCTAGAGGACATTCTTGAAGGATAGCAAAGGAATGGTATATGGTAAAGGAATAGAGTTTAGAACCAAACACTGTGTTTGGGGAATGGCATGAGGCTCCGTGTGGCTAGGGTAAGGAGTAAATATGGGAAAGCAGGAGGTGAGAGACAAGAGTTAGAACATCTCTTAGTAAGTAACAGGAGTGACAGGCTCCAAGATGCATTGTCAAGAGAACACTGCTGACAGTGAGGATGGACCTGAGTGAGGTGAGGGACTAGTTAGGAATAGTCCAGCTGAGAGAAGTGGAGTTCCTGAACTATGGCAATAAGCATTTCAACGAGGAGATGATAAATAATTAGAAGTCATTTAAAAAGTTAAAGTACTATGTAATATCATAAAAAGATATTAGTTATTGCTATTATTATCTGTCCTAACTTGGAACCTTAACCCCAGCTTAACAAATATTTCCTGTGGCCCATCTAACGCACAATGCCATCTGCAGTAGGTATGTGCTACCATTAAACAGGCCTCTCCTGACTTCCCAGAATTTATGATGAAGGCTATTTGTGGAACAAGCTCGTTTTAGTCTCTTTAAACATCGTAAAATAAGCTTAGATTGCCCCTTGGATTTTCTTTAAGTATCCTGCAGAAGAATATTAACTTTGCTTCCAGCACGAAAGATAATGTCAATATAACTTTTGTGGAATTGGTAAAATGGTGAAATTTAAGGGTGTGGCTGAAGATGCCCGTGAGCTTATAGCCTTTTCACTTAGAAGAGGGAATTGATGGCTTTGCCACGGCATTTTCAGCATTCCAGGCTTATGATCAAATAGAATCCAGTTCACATTTCTTTTAACCTTCATTTTAAAGACCCAGGTGGCATTCGTGATTAGATGCATAAACATTTGTAAATACACATGTTTGGATTTGTCAGTGATTCAACATTTTGACCACATACCTGTGCTAAATCCAGCAGTGAGACAGCTGAGGAAATAACTTCTAGAAGAATTTTTTCTGTTCCTCAGCGTTCCTCAGGCAGGAAGCCACAGGAAATAATGCATCGTGGGGCGTATTTCCCTGCAGGATTCGGTGTGTCATTCATTGTGCAGAATTGTGCTTTCTAGCTGCCTGTAGTTCACATTGTTGTACTTGCTTTTCCCTTCAGGGTAATTTGATGAAGTCGGTTCCTCAGAGATAGAAAACTTCTTTATTTATTTATTTATTTATTTTGTGAGGAAGATCAGCCCTGAGCTAACATCCATGCCAATCCTCCTCTTTTTTTTTTTGCTGAGGAAGACCGGCCCTGCACTAACATCTATTGCCAATCCTCCTCCTTTTTTCCCCTCTTCTCCCCAAAGCCCCAGTAGATAGTTGTATGTCATAGTTGCACATCCTTCTAGTTGCTGTATGTGGGACGCTGTCTCAGCATGGCCGGACAAACGGTGCGTTGGTGTGCACCCGGGATGTGAACCTGGGCCGCCAGTAGCTGAGCGCGTGCACTTAACCACTAAGCCATGGGGCAGGCCCCACGTCTCTTTACTTTTTTAAGGTCAGGTTTGTTTTTTTTTTCAATTGAGAGATAAACTTGATTAAAGATTAGATTAAAGAAAAGATTTAAGTAGCCAGAATAACTATTTTGACATATGAAATAACCATGATTGCAATATGTAATAGTCATTAGATAATTTTATTAATCTAATAGGGTAAGTGCTTTTGGTTAAATGGAAATAAGGTCTGTCAAAATTGGAGCAGTTTAAAATGTAGGCAGTTGGAACCTGGAATATTGAAATGAAACCACCCTTTTCTGAGAGAACCTCACTGTTGTTTTATTAGGTATGGTTTATACTTTAAAGTTTCTCTGCATTTTTTTTCTTCTCGCTTCCCTGAACCCTTTCTTTACTGGAGAGTGAAACACTTTCCCCACTCTTAATGGGAAAGAAGTGGAACAGAATGCTTTGAAGTCAGAATGAATATTCTCACATTAAGCAGCTGTTTTTTTAAACACCTATACCAGAGGTTTTTCAACCCTGCCTGCACGTTAGAATCACCTGTACTACCTTAAAAAATACTGATGTGCAGACTCCACCCCCAGAATTACTGCTTTGATTGGAATGGGGTAGGGCCTGGGTGTTCACATTTATCAAAGCCTCCCAGGCTGACTCGAACGTACAGCAGGGTTGAGACCACGGACCTCTGCTGTCCTTCATGCAGGCATCCCCAGGCTCAATTTCAACCTGCCCAACTGGACTTCCCTATCTGCCACTTGACAATCAAGTGCAGCTGGCTCAAAGGGAGGGGCCCCAGGTGATTTACTTGGGTATGGGAAAAATATGAGAACTTCTATTTCTATTTTGCAATCTCATCCTCTAACCATATCTGTTTTTAAAATATTTTATGATGCACATACTATGTTAGTACAGTAGACGTTTTCTGTTTTTTTTTGCAGATGGGGCTGTACCATCAAAACGTTCACAACCTTTGAGGAAGACACAACACAAAACATCCTTTTTCCCATTACTTAGGTCTCTTAATTCTTGGTTGTTACCAAGAGCAGCTCAAATGTTGGCTTTGTGTCTACTGATTGCTGCAGAGTCTTCTAGAGCTATGTATGGAGTCTTACACAATGTTGGTCCTCCACCCCACAGCTGTATTATATGAAAAACCTCAGGATACAGTCTCTTTTACTGGATCATTGCCCTTCCCAGAGTTCCTGATACAGCTTCATCTCCTGGTCCCTTCTCGTAGTAAAATTTTCTCTCCCCCTTCTAAGCTCTTCTAAAATGCACAAACACTTTTGGGTACAGCAAACAGAAGGAGAGACTTTAATGTAAAAATGCCTTCAAAATATCCCCTGATATTAAGAAATTGTTTTTAAGATATAATAATGATACTGTGGTTATTTAAAAGGAATAAAAGGAATCCTTATCTTTCAGAGATACATACTATAATATTTCTGGGTGGAATGAAACAGTATATAGAATGTGCTTTAAACTAATATGAGAGTATATTTAACTACAATAATTAAAGAAAAACTAATATGAGAAGGGAGCAAATGGATGGAGGTTGGAGGAGGCAACATTGGTGGGCATTTGACAATTATTGATGCAGGGAAGTACATAGAAGTCATTATTATATTCTGCTTGCTTTTTTGTATGTTTGATTTTCTATAATAAAAATTTAAAAAAATCTTTTGGATCATTTACAGTTCATTTATTTAAAAAGAAAACCCTCAGCCCAATATAATAAGGGCATATCAAACCACAACACTTAGGCCTGAAGAATTTCAGATATGGGCCTCAGATTGTGTTCTGCAGTGAATTCTGCGCCTTTGGGGGCTGTTTCCCTCCTTCCTCTCTATCCTTACCTGCTTTCCTTTTCCTGATGCCCATCTCTCCACCTGCTCACCATCACCTTCCCACAGCTAGCATCCCCTCTTCTATGTCGTCTCTTTCATCTGCCTTCGTGCTCTCCCTATGAAATCATTTTGTTCTCTGCCTCCCCTCAAGCCCCCTCAGACATCAGATACTCAAACCTGGTCTGTGCCTGCAGGCCATTTTCATCTGGTTTTGCCAGGCAGCCTGGCCCCAACACAGTCCTCCTCTGCTGTGTTTCTGTTCTGGGGGGCTGGCGTGCCAGCAGGGCCGAAAAAACAGCTCCTCTTACTTCTTTTGTGAGCTGATTCGTGATCTCCAGGCTCTGGCCTGAAGTCTCATCCTGTGTGCTCTCCGTCTTCCAGCCTCCTGTCACAATCCTGCGTGGGGGCGTTTCAGATATTGCAGATTGACAGGAGGTGACCTTTCTGCTCCCTTCTGCTAGGCCCAGTGGAAACCACCCCCCCTTCTTGTCCCCATGAAATGGGAAGTTTAGATGCAGGTTTCAGAGTTTCTGTTGGGGGAATTTCTAGGATGCCTATGAATTTTCCTGAGTTTTTGTACTCTTTTTAAATATATGAGTTGCCCTGAAAGTCCCTAAAGCATTTATCTTTGTAATTGTAATTAATCCCTGATATTTGGAGCGTTTCAGCATTTTCAGATAACTTGGATATACGCCATGTCATTCGTACAATCACCTATGGTTCTCTTGTACCGTGCACGGCACCTGCCTCGCACTGCCTATGACCGTAGGTGAGCAGGGCCACCCTCAGCCTCGTGGACACAAGCTCCAGTCCACTGTCCACATCTTGCTGTTTTCCTAACAACTCTCTGGTCCCCCATCCCCAGCATGGCTATTAGGTATTGCGTCACCACTTCCCTTTCCCCTACTGCTCTGTGACCTACCACGTGAAGAGTGTCAGCGTGAACAAGCTAGCATCCCAGGGTTGGCAGCTGCGGTAGTTTTGACCTATAGCTGGGCCTGGGCTGGGGACGGAGAGGGAGGGGCTGGAGTCAGGAAAGGGGAGAAGAAACCCATAATTGTTCCCTTTCTCTTCTCTCCTTGCACTTTCGGTTTTAGAGAGACTAGAGGCAAGTATCTCGCTGGAAGGGGGGCCTCCACTTCAGCTTGGGTTCCGAGGACACTAGGAGAACTGAGCCCAGGACCTTCCAGCCCTACCTGCACCCTCAGGACTGAGAAGAAATAGGGGAGGGGAGGAATGGAGGCGGCACCAGGGCAGTGCAGGGCAGTCGTAGGAAGAGGGGGAAGAAAGGGAGAGAGAGGTGGGAAAAGAGACAGCGAAGAGGGACAGGAGGAGAAAGGAGACGAAGAGGAAACATTGTCTCTTCATCTGTTTCTTATGTTAGAAGAAGGGTGGGCTATCCTGTGCTTTATTTCATTGAAATGCAGTTCACGGGGCCGGCCCCATGGCTTAGCGGTTAAGCGCGTGCGCTCCGCTACTGGCGGCCCGGGTTCGGATCCTGGGCGCGCACGGGCGCACCGCTTCTCCGGCCATGCTGAGGCCGCGTCCCACATACAGCAACTAGAAGGATGTGCAACTATGACACACAACTATCTGCTGGGGCTTTGTGGGGAAAAAGGAGGAGGATTGGCAATAGATGTTGGCTCAGAGCTGGTCTTCCTCAGCAAAAAGAGGAGGATTAGCACAGATGTTAGCTCAGGGCTGATCTTCCTCACACACACACACACAAAAATGCAGTTCACGGACTTCTGATGAGATATTTAAAATGTCCAAATGGTAGGTGAGCTATGGATATGCTGGGATTTTATGGGCAAAATGAAGCAATTTTTCAGACACTTCCTAAAGCAAGTTCCTGACATTGAGGAAACAGTCATTTGTTGACCCCGTTTATCCAAGTTTACTTTCCAGCTCCTCAATAATATATTTCATATAATATATATTTCATATCAGGTTGATGTTTTGACTCAATGTTTCAGGCCATTGAAGGTAATTGCTTAAAACTCTTCTGCCTAGACAGACATGGCCTATGTGTTAATAAGTTTGGTTTATTCTTTTTGTATAAATCCTGACAGGAACATGTAGGTAACATTTATCTTTTTTATTGCAATGGTGTTATGTTCACTTAAGGAAATTCAGGAAACACAGAAAAAGTACAAAAAAGAAAAATAAAAGGCCCAACCCTCAGAGAGAATTACTGTTAATATTTGGTGTATATCTATTCCAGATGGCCTGCTATACACACATCCATTTCTCCCTTTCTCTTTCTCCCAATAGGGATCGTGGTGTCCGTTCTACTCTGCATCCTTCTTTTTATTAGCACTATACCATAGACATGGTCCTATGTATACAATAGGATTTTTAGAGTAGATAACATTCAGAAAATGCACAAATTGTAAGTGTGCAGCTTGTTGAATGTCACAAAGTGATGAACACACCCGCGTAACCAATAGAACACAACAGGCACCTCAGAAGCAGAACATACCAGCATCCCCAAAGCCTCTCTCACCCACTTCCAGGCACTGCGCTCCATCCCAAGTGTTACCACTATGCTGACTTCGGAAGTATAGATTTTTTTCTCCCTGGTTTTGAACTTTATATAAATGGTATATTTATAAAATAAATAGTATATTCATAAAATATTTATAAAAACTACAGCATGTAGTTGTTGTTTTTGGTCTAGTTTCTCTCATCAGTGAATTGTGAGATTCATTCAATTTTTTGTGTAAGGCTGCAGTTTGCTCATTCTCACTGTTGTATAGTATTCCATTGGATGCAAACACCACAATTTATTTAACCATTCTATTTTTTTTTAATCTTTTTTTTTTTTTTTGTGAGGAAGATCGGCCCTGAGCTAACATCTGCCGAACCTTCTCTTTTTTGCTGAGGAAGACTGGCCCTGGGCTAACATCCATGCCCATCTTCTTCCACTTTATATAGGACGCTGCCACAGCATGGCTTGCCAAGCGGTGCGTCGGTGTGCACCCAGGATCCAAACCAGTGAACCCCGGGCCACCGCAGCGGAGCGCTTGCACTTAACCGCTTGCACCACCGGGCCGGCCCCCAACCATTCTATTTTTGACGGACATTTGTGTTGTTTGCTCCTCCTGAGCTATTATGAGTGTGCTGCTATGAACATCTTTGAACATACCTTCTGGGGGACATATGCACTCCTGTCTCTCCTAGAAAGTGGACTGCTGCATTGTATGGTAGGCATGTGTTTAGCTTTATTAGGTAATGCCAAACAGTTTTCCAAAGTGGCTATACCAATCTCACACTCTTGCCAGTAATGTGTAAGAGTGCCACTTGTGTCACATTCTTGCTAACACTTGGTATTTTCAATTTAAAAAGGCCAGGCTATCAAAGGTAATTGCTTGAATCTTGTCTTTTACCTAGACAGATAAGGCCCATATGTTTATTCTTTTTGTATAAATTCTACAGAAGCCTAGAGATAATATTTGCCTTTTTTATTACAATGGTGATATGTTCATTTACAGAAACCCAGGAGAATTTTGGTCATTTGGATGAGTGGGTAGTGGTATCTCATTGTGATTTTAATTTCCGTTTCACATGTTTCACAGCCATTTGGATTTCCTCCTTTGTGAAATGCCTGTTCAAGCCTTCTGCCTATTTTTCTCTTGAGTTGTCTGCTTTTTCATGTTGACTTATAGGAGTTCTTTGTATCATTGGATGAGTCCTTCGTCAGATGAGTGGTACAAGTATCTTCTCCCACACTATGGCTGCCCTTTCGCTCTTAATGGTGACTTTTCATGGAATAAAAGTTCTTAGTTTTAATTTAGTCCCATTTATCGATATTTGTCTTTTATGGTTAGTGCTTTCTGTGTCCTGTTTGGGAAATCTTGTCATATTTTAAGGTCATGAGGATATTCTTTTATGTTTTCTTCTAAAAGTCATATTATTCTGCCTTTTACATTTAGATGTACATTACATCTAAAGCTGACTTTTCTGTACAGTTTGAGGAAGAGGATTAAGGTTATTTTTTTTTATATATGTATCTAATTGACTCAGCATTATGTATTGAAAAGAGCATTCTTTTTTCATACAACGTGAGTTTTACATGGGTCTATGACATTCCGTTATGTAGATGAGCCATTTAACCAGTTGAGAGAGCATTTTAATCGAACATTTTCTTATATATTCTTCCTTGATATTTGGCCTGAGTGACTTAAAAAAAAAAATTACTGGAACGAGTGCTGATGTACTTTATTCTATAAAGAGTAAATATCAAGATGCTGAAAACAGCCAGGCATTTGTTAAAATATAAAAGTTTTAGTTATAATCCTGAATTATCTATTACAAGCCAAATGAAAGGTAGACTTTACAAAGTGAATTTTGACTAGAGGCTTGTATAAATCCATATTTTGGGGGGCTTAGGTTAATTCTAGTTAACAATGATACTGATCTTATTTTATTAGATATACATTAATCAGCTTAATAATTAAGTTGCTCTTTCATATTTTGAAGCCCAGTTTTGGGAGTGTAACAAATTATTTGATATTTACCAGAGGAAACTTGGTTTGAGAATAAATCACACTACTAACATTTATTGTTATCACACTGCTGGCATTCATTCCCTCAGTGACTTATTTTGAGGTCACTTTATTTTAGAAGTATTAGAAAAATAGAAACTTATGAAGATTTATTTGACAAAGATGGCTATGATCAAAACTTAGCTAGGAAGTGGGTTCTGTATATTCTGATGATATACATGTGAACTTCATGATTGAAATTAACATTTTCATATGGTTAGAACAACCATTTTGCACAGTTAGATTTATTAGGATAAATCTAATCAGGAAAAATCAAGTCACTTTCCTAAATGGACTTTAAATATATTATAATGTAGCCTGGTATTGGAGGAACTTGCTATTAGTCTTATTTTTAGCTACTGGGAGAGTGTCGGTGGTGTTAATTAGCCTTTGACATGGATTTTTTTCCCTCCATTAATTCTCTGTATTATTATGAAGCCTAATGTTATTTGATTTTTAAAAATTAATCTTAAAATTCTTAATAGTTCTGCTATTTAAAATGGCCGTAATCAAAATAAGCAAGATGGGTTTGTGATGAGTAAACTTAATTTCTTTTGCACTTGGTTGAGCAGAAATTATTAATTTTAATTTAAAAAGTCTAACTAATCCACAGTGCATAAAAAAGCATTCGAATTGGATTTTAACCTTTAGAAATTAGACTTCTTATTTTTCATAGAACTTACATTAGTATTTATTTGCACGTATTTATCCTTCCATGTATTAACTGTTATTAGCTCTGTTGAAATTGTTTTAAAGTGAATAAATGTGGTGAAATTAGATTTATTGAGACTTTTGCACCCTTTACTTTCACATGTGCAAACCAAACATTGCATCTTTTCAAAAATCCTATCGCCTTACTTATTTAATGCTGCCACTGAACAAGATGGAACTAGAAGCCAGAGATCACCCCAGCAAGGCTTGCGGGTAGTAGAGAGTGATTTAGACCAGAGCTTCCCAAAGTATTTCACAAAATACTGGTTCACAGGATTTAAGCAGTGTTGTGTTCAAACAAAACAGAACAAAACAAAAGACATACAGTGGTCAAATTAATTCGGAAAATAAAAGTTAACCAGGTTTTCCAAATGCTGAGTTATTCAGAGCCTTTAATATACTAATGTGCATTGTCAGTGCCCAGGTGGTGGGGGGGTCAGGGTTGGGGGAGCAGTGTAAAAGAAGCAGTGTTTCCCAAACTGAGACTTCGGGGTGACTCCAAGGTCTAGTCCAGTGTTTCTGGAACATTCTTCAAGAAATGTTCGTGTACTTCTCCCTAAGGTCACCAGTTCAGCCTAGCCCCTGACCACTCCCTCAGTCCCCCAAAGGCCCCAAGGCTAAAATGGACCTGATAATTTTGGTGCTTTTCTCCGCTTTATATTCCTGGACTGAAAAGTTGGTCTAATCCTGGTTTCTATTATGGGAGGAGTTTGAGTCCCCTTTACATCCTTGAACTAGATCCCAACCAATCTCTTCCTTCCTTCAACAAACATTTATGAGCTCTTTCTCCTCTCTCAGCCTGGAAGAATCTTGCGCCGGGGTATTCCCGGGTACGACTGACTCCTCATCCATTTTTGCTCACATGCCACGATGAGACCACTTTATCTTATGTTGAGACCACTTTATCTTCCCCTCCCTTACCACTCTTCAGCACATTGTGTCATTTTATTATCTTCATGGCACTTCATAAATATATCTGAAAATATTTATTTATGCATTTATCTATTTGTCAATCGTCTGATTTACCCCGCATTGAACCATAAGCTCTGAGACATCAGGGACTTTGTGTCCCTTGTTCTTTGAATTCCTGGTTTCTACTGTGCATGACGCACAGTGGCCCTCGTAAGGGACCAGCCTCTGTGGTCAGGGAATGCACATTCTAAAGGGAGAGAGATACAAACATGGAATCCTGTGTGTTACGAGCTGTGCTTGAGGTAAACCTAGGCTGTTATGGGACCTCCAATGAGGAACTCTGCTCTTAGGCAGCAGTGGTGGGGGTGGGCAGAGGGTGTCACAGAAGACTTCCTACAGGCAACCTCTGAACTGAGTCTTGAAGGCCAAGTTGGACATACAATGTTTTTGGCCAAGGAAACAGCCTGTGTGAAGGGCTGAAGGTGAGATAGGTGATTCAGATAAGTACAAGTGGTTCAGGGAGGGCAGCTGGCAGAGTGGAGGAACTGAGGCTAGCAAGGTGAGCAGGAACAGAGGGTGACAGGCCTGGAAGGTCATGCTAAGGAGTTAGGACTTTGTTCTGAATTTGATGGGGAGCAGTGAAATTGGCAGGATTGTAATTGTATTCAAAAAGATATTTTATTTCTGGCAGCAGCAAGTATGATGGATAAGAGGGGATGAGACTATAGTGGGGAGACCAATTTGAAGCCTTTGAGACCAAACAGAATTAATTGGCGTTTAAGAGCCCCATCATGCACTTTGCACTTTCTCTCCTTGGCTCACAGCTGTTGCTTTGGTGGAAAACATCTTTTCTT